CAGTAGTTGTAGGTTAGGTCTAGGTTGATACCTGTCCAACCAGTCTGGGTCTAGGGCCTGTACGGGCAATATCAGAGTCTGCAATGATGTTTCCCTCTGAAAGGGAGGAGGTACCGGTTGCTTNAAAAAAAAAAAGGCACCTTGCTTGTTGCCTATAAAGGTGAATCGCTAAGTCAAGTGCCCAAATCCTCTTAGGATTGAGGTTATAGTGCTGGGGGGGGGAAAGGGGTGGGGAGGATGGCCCAGGTAGACTGGCCAGGAGAAAAGAGGGATGAGGAGGGACAAGGGGACTTTACAAAGGACTACAAACTAAGATTCCTTGATTGGCTCCAGCTCGATCCCAACATACCTATGAAGGGCCCTGAGCAGTTCCCAGACATGTTTCCTCCGCCAGCCGCGGCAATTGTAGAAAGACAATGGTTTGGGTATCTGTAAGGAGGTGGTTGGGCCTAAGTTGCCTTTTTCCTTTTCTTTTGACATTTCTGATATCTTGCTCAGGTCAACACTCAGGCTCACAGGGGAGGGAAGAACCAGTGACACTGTGTAACAGCTAGCATCTGGCGCCTGTTTTCGGGTGAAGAGATCCTCCGCCCCGCTGTCTAATCTCCTGCTCAGTTAATCCCCTGGATGCCAGGGTAATCAATGCTGGCAGGAACTCTCCACAAATGTTTCTTGGTATGATTTCATTCATTGTGTATATGGGACTCTGGACCCGTTTTCCAGCAGGTGATGCTCCCCACCAATAGATGGAGCCCCCTTAGGTGCTAGTGGTGTCTGCTCCTACCAGCATCACTACCACTGATAGGGGTTTCTCAAAAAAAAAAAAAGAAAAAAAAAAAGGATTGAGGTCATAGTGTACAATTCGAATTGATTCTGCACTTTCCTCCCAAGCGGATGGAATCCATGGAGCTCTTGGTACCCCCCTGATAACCCTGGCAGGGTTTTGGGACCCTTGGTTGTGAGCCCCAAACTGCTTGCCAATGGGATGACCCTTTTGAACCTTTCATAACCCTTGCTACCCTATTATGCTCATCCTTAATAGTTAATCCACTCAGGCGAGGGCAATGCCTCGTTGTCTGGCCCCAGGAGATGTATTGCGGAACGTTTCACCCGGTTTCAAGCCGGCAGCTGCCCACCAATCGAATGGAGGAACCCTCGACCATCTCGAACTGGGGAACCCTTGATGATCTCGAACTGGGGAGCCCTCTAGTACAGCGGGCTGAAAAATCACCTCCGGTACTCGCTCGGTCCCATGCAGATGTCGCTGTAGGAAAAAACATACCACCCTTATGACCTTTCATAACCCTCGTAACCCTCTCTGAGAATCCTTGGGATCTCAATTGTGAACCTTTGATAACCCTTGTTCTAATCCTAGGAAACCACCCGTACTTCTGGGCCATTTTCCCCCTTCGACTCGAAAACGCCTTGCGTGCCAAAAGAAAACGAACTGGCGTCCTCCGTTTGGCTGGCGCCGCCAGGCATTTTTGCTCCGGAAGCCGCATATTTTATTCTTTGGCTGGGAAACATGCTGGTGGTTCAAAATCCTCAGGACCACCCTTGGGAACCTATCTTTTTTTTTTGTCAATATTAACTCCTGTAACCCTCTTAGGACCCTTGGACCTTGGTACCTCTTTTTTTTTTTTTTTTTTTTTTTTTTTTGGACCTTGGTACCTCAATTTCATAACTCTTCTAAGCCTCTTAAGATCCTTGCGATATCAATTTCGAACCTTTCGTAAATCTTGTACCCCTCGTAGGATCATCCTTTGGCCCACCCTCGTGAACCTTTTGCAACTCTTATAACCCCCTTAGGATCCTTGAGCCTCCCCGACGGTGCTAGGTGTGTCTGCTCATATCAGCACACCTAGCATCCGGTCGGGTTGTTCAAAACAAAAAACAAAAAAAAAAAAAAGGATCCTTTGGACCACCCTTGTGATCCTTTCGTAATGCTCTTCAGATCCTTGGGACCTCTATTGTGAACCTTGGAACCCTACCACCCTTGTGAACCTTTTATAACTCCCGTAACCCTCTTAAGATAATTGGGACTCCACTCCAATTGCAACCCTTGCAACCCTTGGGACCACCCTTGTGAGCCTTTCGTGACTCCCGTAACCCTCTTAAGATCCTCGGGACCCCAATTGTGGACCTTGGAACGCTTGGGACCACGCTCGCGAACCTTGGGACCTTGGGATCACCCTTGTGAACCATGGAGCCCATGGTACCCACCATTAAAGAGCTTGAAACCAGCCTTGTACTGAGAAGGCAGAACACTTAAAAAATGTAATCACCAAAGAAATACTGGAGAGGTTCCCATATGCAGTTGCTAAGATCTATAGTTTCCCTTAGTCCTCTTTTTTTTTTTTTTTTTTTTTTTTTTTCTGAGAGAGAGAGATAAGGTCCATCTATTGGTGGGGAGAGTCCTGTGGTGTTGATCTTGAATAGATTTGCATTGAGCAGCTATTGGGTTGTGGTAGCCATGAAATTGGAGGGTCATCGCCGATAAACTATGGTTGCTGTATCCAGCTCATTTCGTTTTTGTAGGCCCATTTCTGTTTGTCCCTCTAAAAACGGGACAGTGCTGCAAGAAGTGGCACATCATCTGATGTTCCCTCGAAAATTATGGCACCTCAGCCTTGCCTACCATCCTCTGTGAGCCTCTCCGAAACTTCTTACTTCCATTACTTTGCACATTATGGCGTCATGCGCATCTGGCCCAACGAGCTCCCAGCCCCTCTCTCTCTCTCTCTCTCTCTCTCTCTCTCTCTCTCTCTCTCTCTCTCTCTCTCTCTCTCTCTCTCATCTGCCCACATACACACGCTCACACACACTCTTCTCTGCAAATGTCCATCCACCTGGGTTCTGTCATGGGCAAAGCATAGGTCCATTCGTAGGCTATAGATGTCTCTGTTCATTCACATCTTTTTGCACTTTGGTGGTTTGTCTCTCTTGCACAGAACTACATCCAGTTAGTCTTTTTGCAGCACAGACTGCCAGATGTCTTTTTGCACTTTGGGCCTCCCAGTTAGTTGATTAGGAGAGTGTGGGGATGCGGCCCAAAGGCACAGGCAGGCCACAGCATGCTGGAGACCTGAAACCAAAGACACAAAATTGCTTTTCCCCGCATGGATTTTCCTCCCAACAGGAGACCTTGTCCCCTATTTACACGCCATCCTGGCACCCTAATCCCCTGCTCCAACCCCTGCACCGCCTTTCCCAAATGGCAAGCATACTCCTCCAGAATCCCCTCTCAAACTCAACCATTCAGGATTCAGGCTGAATCAGGAACACACCCCCCGCCTTTGACCCCCCTCACAGAGCAATTGCCCCGACTTCGATTTTCTCTCAGGGGCATTGCCCTGACTTTGATTTTCTCTCAGGGGCATTGCCCCCACTTGCTCACAACAGAGGCAACCCCTATAAAATACCACCCTGCCACCAACAGATGGGTCTAATAGCCACTGCGCCTGCCAAGCTCTGATTATGGATGACATTTACAACCAGGGGTCTGCACATTGGCAATTGCAGCCAGGACCAGCCTCCGAGTCGGTCTTCGCCAGAAAAAAAGCGTTGCGAGGTCCGCATCCAAAGTACGCACCTGCTGTCCCCTGCACATAGGCCTGACTCTTAGAGGCCCAGAGGAAGGCAAAGGGACTTGCAAGAGCGGCGCGCTGAGCAATCTCAGGCCAAATTTGGATGCCGAGGGTCCAAGTGGGTGGGTGTAGTAGAGGCCCAGAGGAAGGCAAAGGGACTTGAACTGCCGACCTCCACCATGCACCATGCAACTGTGGGGCCTCATCGACTCTGCGCTAAGCCGCTGCGCATCTACGTACTACGTATCTGGGCATATAGTTACAACCTTCTTCCCCCGAATACAACGTCCAGTCATTATAGCGGAATTTGAGGCATCTTTCAGTCTAGATACACAGCTATAATTACCGTACTTTGTATTCGGGAGACGAAGGCAGAGTTGTGGCCAAAGCACACTTGGACAGGGGAAATGCGATGATGAAACCTATTGCATGACACGTCTATGACATGATGCACAAAACGTAATAAAGGGAGCTCAATCGAAAGGATAATTATCGCCAGAAACAATTGACCACATCCCTGACCTGTAGTCTGGATGCAGCAGCCTCACGCCTAACTCCCTCTTAATCTTCGTATTCCTCACTCGCTTTTCCGCAACGGTGCTTTCATGAGAAGTCTGAGCCTCCATTTGATCTGCAGCAATTGGCATGTAAGGAGGACGGGCATCGGCATCCGCCGTGTCATTCTTCTGTCCGTTGCCCCTGCCACCATCCGCATCAACTTCTTCACACAACCTCTCTCCACTACCTGCAGCAGAGCCACGTTCCATCACTAGGCTGTCAGGCATACTATCACTAGACGATAGGTTGTTGCCGGTAGAAGCTGAAGCTGAAACCCTTGCTAACAAAAGCCTTGTGTATGCCATCACTTCGTCTCTCGAGGCAGGGCTGTCGTCAACGACATTGTAAATTTGGGTTCCGGGGGGCACACAAGGAGAATGGTGCTTTTCATGCATCGCCATGCTTCTGACAAGTACGTGGCAGATATCGGCCACGTGGCAGCGAGATACAAAGCGCTTCGTTCTGCGGATCATCTGTCTTCTCTGTTTGCCACTCGACCCCACTTCCGAAAAATTCAAGTTCTTGCCGTGCGATGACACGGACTCCGCGAGGCTCCTTCCCGGGCCATAGATTCCGCCCAGCCGGAATATGTGGACAGGGCACCCGATACTCTCCCCGAGTTTCGACCACGCTCTCTCCGCACAGACCCTTGCGACTACTTTCGCATCGCCCCCTGGTTTTACATCGTCCTCCTCATCTACCCACTCACCATGCCTATCTCCGTAAACCCCCGTCGTACTCAGGTAGCCTATCCACCGAAGTCGGCCTTGGCCTGCAGCACAAGCAACATCCTCTGCATGCATCTGCAGGACCAAATCCGGGTCCAAACCCCGACTCAGCGCTGGTGGAATGGAGATCAGCAAGTGCGTCGCTGACAAGAGTGCAGATATGCCTTCCTCGCTCAATTTATTCGTCCGGCAACTAGAATCCGCCGAATCGTGTGATGCACTGAACAAGAAGGAATTGAATCCCTGTAGTTCCAGCGCCTGTCGTTGTTTCTCATCGCGACAAGTTCCCGAGACTCTCCATCCTTTCTTCTTGACTAGCAGATTTGACAGCCCTCTACAAGTATACCCCATCCCAAAACAGAATAGATGATGGTTATGGTTGCTTCCTTCGTCTTGCATCATCGTCCGCCGATCATGAGACTCCTTGGCAGCAGCTCCCTTGTCTTCCATCTCTTCTTCTTCTTCTAGAACCATGCAGGTAGGCATTCCTTCTAATTCCTTTGTGGCAGAAGAGCGTTCCCCTACGACTTTGGTGATGGCCACCGCCCTTCTGAGTGAGGTGTGGTTGGTGGCAACAGCAGTGCATCCACTTCCACTTCGAGGAGATGACGCCGAGCGGTGGCAAATGTAATGAAGACTCCGATTCGCGAAATTCGTCCGTCCATCACAAAGTGTACTGTTTGGCAGAATCTGATGCCAAAGGAGGACCGTACTTCCTCTTTTCGCCGTGAACACTTGAAACTGCTTCTCAGACCCGTAACCTGTAAAACATTTCGATCATATTCAGGAGGAGGATGGGCTTTTTTTTTCGCTTTTTTTTTTTTTTTTTTTTTTTTCGGATGGGCATATTTTCGCGCAACTGTGTTCAGAGTGGAATCTGAAATTACACAGAAGGGAGCTAGTGGAGGTCTCGGTTAGACCACCAAACTAACTCCACGTTTTTAGGCCGTTAAACCACCAGTACTTCCTCGAGTCTTGCCCGTTAACGCGCCACGATTTTAGGAAACTTACGGGCTACTACAGGAGCGCCGAAATTCATCCGACTAGAAATGTTTCTACTCTCTTTTCTTTTGCCGCAGCCGATAGCTGGGCCAAGTCCTGGTGGTTTAACGCGGTGGCTGAATCGGTGCGCCGAGCAGGTCCATATCCATTTGCCTCAGAGCCGCCCCAGAGGGGGCCTAAGCCCCCCCCCCGGGTACTGGTGGGTTTAAACCAACAAACTAACTCCAAGGCAACTTTTTTACCCAGACGAGATGGAGAAGAACTGCGCGCCAAGCAAGCTTGCTTTGTCAAAGCGCCAGCGGCGTGACCTTTTTTCGCTTTTGTTTTCACTGTCACCGCCCGCCATTTTGGTCCGGAGACTCGCTGTATCCGAAGAATGCGGTATAGGTACTATAGGTTATATTTGCGACTGAGCCTTCCACTCTGAAAGGTAGTGGATTTCCAAAAAAAAAAAAAAAAAAAAAAAAAAGGTAGTGGTGGTTTAAATGACTTCGAAAAACCGTGACAATCTCGGGAAAAAAAAAAAAAAACCGTGACAGGCAAGAAAGACAGTTCATCGTTTTGCAAAACCTATGTTTGACTGCACTTGAAATCATTTGCAGCCAAAAAGAAAAAAAAAATATATATATATATATATCGTCACAAACAGAACTGCCCGGTAAAACCGTAGGCAGAGAGAGAGAAGAGGACAACAAACGAGGGGCTGTGACAAAGTGTTTCGTCGGAGTTTCACCAACTCATCAGGAGGCTATATATGATGTGCTACATTGCGAATTTTCTTTTTTTTTTTCTTTGTCTTTAAATTTT